GTCGGAGTTGGGCTGTGTCGACTGATCTCAGAATCAAATGCTACAGGCAGCCATGATGGCGAGGGTTGGTCGAGGGTATGGAGAAGGGTGGTGGTATTGGGGAGCCTCCTAAGTTCTCATGGTGATGGTGAGAGGTCGCACCGAAACCTCCCTAAAGGAGGGGTAGCGAAATTTTGGAAAAAGCGCGAACGTCATGGTTGACCCTGGTACCAACTATTTCACCATCTAAGGGGGACATCCAGTGTTCCACTCACACTGCATGGCACTGAGCCCTAGGAAGAAAATTCATGTAAGCAGCTATTGTTTTCCATGATGTATCTTCTCTCCTGGGCTTAGTCCTAGTCCTTCTACCCACATACATACCACCGGCCCTGTTTTGAATCTCCCCTAAGGCCGTGATCGCCGGAGCCTACTCCACGAAGGATTCGAATTTGCAGATGGACAAACTCGTGATCAACTGGACTCGCGCAAAAGACAGTTACTGTCTGATTTCATGTCCATATCAAGCGCCGATGAGGATACTGCCCTGTCACTCCTTCAAAGTTCTCAATGGAATGTCAACGTCAGTGAACGTTGTTTCTCTCACATTTTTTTTACCCTGTTCACAGAGCCAATATTATTTCCAATTCCAGAGAGCTCTAGACTTATTTTTTGGAAATGAAGAGGAAGACGACAACGAGGTGGCTCAACCTCCTGAAACACAGTCTAGCTGTGAAAGTGCGCCAGTGGATCTTTCTGTTAGTTCTATTTTCGCTGGCGTTTCCACAATTTCTCCAAACGCTCTTTTCGAAGGGTTTGGAAGTCTCCCTAGTATCGTGGAACATTGACGGTCTCGATGGAAATAGCCTTGCAACGCGTTTTAAAGCTGTCTACAAGATTGTCAACAAGTGGGTTTTCGGATAGTGTTCAGCTTGCCTTTATTTTGTTTTTTTTTCACATAATTCCTTTTTCTGCTTTGGTTTCCTACTTTAAGATGTTTTTTATTCGTTAGCGCGGTGTCCAATGACTGAACTGAAGCGTAAGATCACGCAGCATTTTTGCTAATCATAGAGATAGCTGGGGTCTATTCCAGTGGGGGGGGATCTTATGCAATAGTTTCGTGCCATACCACACTCTCCAACTTTTGCAGGTGGATAAGCCATGCCATACCCTACACACTGCAACTTTTGCAAATGGATACGCTTCGCGGTGCGTAAACCATTTCCTATTCGCTTGTTACGCGCCTTGGAGCATCCTTCCTTCCGCTTGAAGTGAGAATTAGTGTAGACTTGTGATGCCCCTCCCCTTTTATTAGACAGACCTGGCATCTGTGAGGCATCGGAACTTT